TGCTGGTGAGGTAAAGCATACTGAGGTAACACACTGAGCGTGTACAGTGGTGCTGGTGAGGTGACGTATACTGAGGTAACACACTGAGCGTGTACAGTGGTGCTAGTGAGGTGATGTATATTGAGGTAACACACTGAGCGTGTACAGTGGTGCTGATGAGGTCAAGTATATCGAGGTAACACACTGAGCGTGTACAGTGGTGCTGGCAGGTGACGTATACTGAGGTAACACACTGAGCGTGTACAGTGGTGCTGATGAGGTGAAGTATATCGAGGTAACACACTGAGTGTGTACAGTGGTGCTGGTGAGGTAAAGTATACCGAGGTAACACACTGAGCATGTACAGAAGTGCTGGTGAGATGAAGTATACCGAGGTAATACACTGAGCCTGAACACTAATGCTGGTGAGATGAGGTATACCGGGGTAACACACTGTGCATGTACAGTGGTGCTGGTGAGATGAAGTATACTAAGAAAATACAAAGTCAAAGTTACTAAGATAATACTAGAAGCTCATCATGCTGGCAGGAAATTTAGGACCAATACTGAAGAAGGGAAAAATTATTAAGATACAACTTTTTTACATTATAAATGAATATTTAACTCAAGTAATACAAAGTATATTCAGAAACTGAGCCCCTGAGTAATCTGGGCAACTGGCATGGTTCCCAATACGGATCATAGCAATTACAAATACAAAACAATAGAGGTTGCAACAAAATAACCCCTTACTAATCACTGTCAACGCCATATGCGGCGACGTACTATACAGGTGTCACACATCACTTATACGCACACACACCACGTTCTACATCCAACAAGCACAGCCAGGTATACTTTTCACTAGGGAAATAACAGGAATGAAAATAATTGTGGAAAGTCCCTATTTTTCCTACAAGACTATTTCATTTTGCTTTAAGTAATTAGAATGCTTCATATACAACGGTCCCATCCCTCCACCCTCCAAATAAAATACAAGCAAGGAATAAACTAACCCATGATATGACAAAAAATAAAGGCGACATTACATGGATATAAAATGGGAAGTAGATACAAAATGTTTCCAACAATGTGCCTTTTGCTGGCTGTGTTTCCTGAGTGGAGAGGACAGATTGAACCGAACCTGGTGTGGGAGACTATTCCTTGATTTCCAAAGGCTAGCCATGACAGGAGTCACACAATCCAGAGGCAAGTGTAACATAAGGGAAGAAAGTGTATTTTTATGTGACTGGAACTTTCTACAGTCCATACCCTGAATATGTCAGGTGTTCTGGGGGTATGCACTGACCAGTGCTGTGTTCATTCACCATCATTTCGGCAGATAACCCCCACCCTCCAGTCCGTCATCCATTCACCTGGCACGCCCACCTGGGGTATCTTGCACAGCTATTATCAGTGAATTCCAACCCTCTGACCAGCACATGAAAGCTCATAGGTACTCACCCTGCATACTGGGCACTGCCAGTGACTACTGCTGTCTCTAAGCCTGTACTCATCAGACAAACACTTGGAATGATACACACGAAAACACAGGTCACATATCAACACCTCTCCAGGCAAATGGCATTCAAAACAATACCAGTCATGATTTTCTGTTTCCCAGTCCTACAAAAAATACAAAATAATTTTGTATGACATTTTGTCAATATCTGCAATAACTAAGAACAAAATTGAAACTAAAGTCTATCAGAAGTTAGGCATTAAAAACAATTTTAGACATTTACTGTGTTAAAACAAGAGGGAAAAAATACCTAGAAATTTGCTTCTTTAAATTTTGAGTTTCTTCCCTAAACAGTATTAATACTCAGAATATTTTAAGGTGATCTGATAGTAAAACCAGCCCAAATGAAGTAAGTCCAGAGCCAATCCCAGTTCTAACATTATCTTTCATTTTTTATATAATCTATGGAATAGTTTCTTCCATAAACTGAATTACCCCAAACCAGTGCCTATAGCTTAGTATTTCAAATAAACCAACCTCTGTTTTGCTCTGCATCTTAACAAAATACAGTAAGTACTTAGCACACTGTGGGAACAGAGAGAATAGTAGTAAATGGTGATGCTCACTATTCTTATCTTCTCATCCATGGTATTGGATGCTTTATTGAAAATAACATTAATCAGAATGTCCATGTTCTGACAGTTGTCAAATTTTCAGGGTCTGTTGAATTTGGAAAAATAAATTGAAAATGTGAAACTAAAGGTTTAATCACATTCTCCAAAGGACATTACCATAAAGAAACAAAAAAGGAAGTAGGCTTCTTTTCTTATTGGGACTATCCCCGGGAACGAACGAGCGCAAGGGCGGGCACTCTTGCACATTTTCTGTTACACGCTGTGTGTGAACAGCCAACGCCATTTAACTAGAAACAGGAAGATGTTACCAGTTTTCCTAATTTAGAACTGATTCATTAGTTCATTCTTCATAAATATCACTCTTAGCTTTTATCAAAAAATACCTGTGTTAAGAGTGATGGATTAACTCTCAACCTTCCTCTGTTGATGTGGTTAATAAATGAACAAGGGTTGAGCCTACACGTAGTGCAATCCAGGCCACTTTCAATGCGGACCCTGAAGTTCCAGGCTTAAGCTCTGCCATCATTTTCCTTTTCATAAATCACTGCCTACAGTCTGCTTCTGGGGTTGGGCAGCTTTCTTGTTTTCTCTCAGGTGAGTAACTCCCCCAACCCGCGGGCTTCAGCGTGGGACTTGTGTAGGAAGCAGTGGCTCCTCGGGCACCGAAGGTCCATACTTATCACAATCACTGCTTGACCTCACAAGGGGCCTACCACCCACTGCTTCAAAAGAGAAGTTTCCCAAGTTCATGTCTTCCTACCTATATTCAGAGTCATGGCTAGAGTACATTACCAAATTCTGCAAAAAAGTAAATTTTTGGTTTGCTTTTTATTTAAAAAGTGGCCTTCATCAACCAAAGTAATAAAAAGCATGACCATTTCTGGTTATTTGCTGCAAACTTATTTTGGTAGAGGGATTTCAGTCAGACTACTTAAAAAAATCGTAAGATACTGCTCTGACATTTGACACTAATTTGCGCATGATAGAAGAAACGTAGCCCACCGAGCTGGACACAACACGTGCATGTGGGCCCTGGCTGTGACAACGGTCGTTGGGGGTGCCCGTCTCACAGGGTCAGGTGGGAAGCTGCACTTAAGCTATTACAAGTTTTGTCTCACAAATTGTTGATAAATTAGGTTTCAGTAAGGACAACACACTTTGGTCTATTTTCAATTAACAGAAGAACTCTTTCCCAGTTTGAAACAAAGTCTTTCAGAATATCTTCTTCATAGCTGTTCAGAAACATCTTAAAGGATTTCGATGGCTTTTATCTGACTTTTTATGAACAAAAGAAACCGCCATCCTTCATCATTCGAATTTTTTTATATTAATTCAACTTCCTGTAATTCTCAAAATGGGAACTGGATCACCAAGACAAGGCACCAGCTCAGGTCTCCCTAGTGCTTCCTGCCTTCTGACCCATCCCACCATGACACAGAGAGGAAAGTGGATCTCTCTTCACCGGAGTGCGTAATCCTCGACCTAGTTTTTCACAACTGGAGGAATGAATGTATAACTCAAATCAAGTAAAAGTAGAGAAACATGTGGATACCTGTTAACGTAACAGCATGTATGTGCTGTTCATTCTTTTAGGGATAGCAGTAGCTACTCAGAACATGTAACATGCAAAAGTCAAGTTCAAAAGTTATTAGATTTTGAATCCAGGAAATGTTATGGGTATAAATGATATAAGCATGTTTGTTACAGACAGAGTTGCCTACAGTTTGTCTTTTAGTAAACACAATCCGTTGATATAGTACTTCTGAAATACTCAATGTGTGCCAAAAGGTAAGTGTGCATTTTCACTGGATTTCACCAGATGTCAGCAAACTACTCTAGACAGAGCCTGATCGACAGCATATTATGTGATATGACACTCCCATACTTCCAGAAAGTTTTAAAAATGCCAACCTACTAGCATAAAATCCAAGACTAGAAGCAATGTAAAGACAGTATGATCTTAATGAATAATTCTAGCAAGAATAAACTAAGATAGCCTAAAAAAAAAAAAAGATGGAAATGTAATACAAAAAAAGGCAGAATTAAAAAGTAAAATAACATAGTGCAAAATCAGTTCACCTTGTTTGGGGTTGCTGTCCTGGAGAAAGGCTGCATACTGTAGGCCTTTCAAAATAAAAACAAAATAATCTTGGTCTCTCTACTACAACGTTGCTCATTATCAGGCAATACACAGAGCTAAAGGGATTTGGTACACAGTCAACTATTATTTGCTATACAACTTACATTATTTTGTAGATGATACCAATTGATAATCTATGAATGTGCTAATCATCAATGAAAAGACAGTAGCATGCAAACTCAAGACTCATTACTAGTTTAAGAGGTAACTTCGACACTAACACAAAAGCTACAAATGGACAAAGAGAAAATTCAGAGAGAAGTGATGTTAGGGAAACATTTCACTGACAAATTCGGTGCCATTATAAATTTGCACAAGACCATGAATGTATGTCCTTTTGATGTGAAAGTGGCTCAAGGCTGGATTTTTTTTAAAACTTGGGAGTGATGAATGTGAACAAGGTAAACTCAGTACTTGACCATGGTGTGAGGTTCACACAGGCTGTCTTCAGAGCCTAGGAGAAAAGAGTCCACCATCTACAAGCAGCCTGCTGACCTACATCCGTCACCATGTACAGCATTTGCTTAAGACTCTAGAGCCACACTGGCTCAAATCCTGGCTCCAGCCTTGGCGGGCTCTGCAATCTGGGGCAGAATACTTAGCTTCTCTATGTATCATTTTCTATCTGTAAAATGAACAGAACAGTAGTGCCTCATTCAGAGGGTTTTTGTAAGGATGAAACGAGTTACGCTCAGTAAGTGCTAGCTGGTTACTGAGAGGATCTGCTGACAAACGACTTGAGGACAAGTCACATAACGACGTGGTGTTTGTGATAATACACATCCGAGTTTCTTTTTCAGGACTTTAAGTTCCTGACGACAGCTGACAGAGCATTTCTATAAGCTAGACAGAGCAAGACACATTGCTGACTGAGGGCTCACTGGGAGAGCTGTGTCTGTAAGTAGGCTTCCCAACCTATAATCCACCCTCATCACATTCAAAACAGATTCTAACCTTTAAAGTCATTCCTTCCTTACATGTAACGAGCAGATAAATCTTACTTTATCAAATATGTGTTTGATGTGGTATTTAACATAGATACAAAGCAAAATCAGTTAATCATTGAGAGCTAAGAATTTGATGATTAAATATCTCGTTATTTTAAATATTATTTAAAAAAAATAAAACTATTATAACACTGCCTAATGAACTAGAATTTAGACAGAAGGAGGGAAAAAAAGGAAACACACATGCACGCGCGCACACACACACACACACACACACACACAAACACCAGTCAAACAAAGCTGAACGGAATATAACAGGATAGCATGATCCAAAATGCTCTACTAAAGAGAATGGAAATTCTTTACCAAATCAAGAATAATTTCTAAGTACATTACAGTTTGAATACACACAGAACCATAGTATAATTGGTTTCTAGTTAATTAATAATCACAGACACTTAATACTTCACTTTGTAAATAAGTGACTTTGTATATATTTGCATCTGAGACAGGTAATGGATCTTTGGAAGAAATGTGTAGTTCTGCATATAATTAGCATAAATGTAATAAAATATATTTCACTTAAAAAAATCAATGGTATCCAAGGAGCTTGAAATTTTGCACTTAGGGTACTTACAACATATGATTGGTTAATTTATGACAACTAAACCACAAAAATGCAAAGATCTAAATTTAAACATTTCTCAGTTCAATACTTGTATTTACAAAGTGGGCCGAGACAGTCAAGCTGCTTGAATTCAACAGCTTCTCTTCGCATTTTTTCCGGAGCAAATCAAGAGAACACTTCTTGCTGTGGTTGTATGATGGTGCGACTTCTGAAGGAAAAGACACAGATGCAATCCTCTCTCATCTAAAAGATGTGAACGTAACAAATTTCTAGAGGTATGTAAACCACAGATGCTTTTAGACTGGCCATTTTGACTGTGGAGAAACAGAGTGACGGGTAAGGGTCTAATCTTGCCCCTCTGCAAATTAAGACCAAATCCATGTATTCCCAGGAGAACATGTGATCCCTTCAAAGAAACCACAAAATGTGTATTTTCGTTAATTATGCTTCTTTAAAGTGTTAAAACCTTAAATACATGGGAAAAAGCAAAATATAAAGAATTCTATCTTTTCACCTAGGCCTACTTGGAAAGCAGCATGAGGTCGGTCCTGCTTCTCGGCAGGACCAGCCGGATTCTGTGAGAAGAATGTGCTCGGACTGACGCAGGGCACGGCAGCTAGGACCTGAGCTCCTGTGTGCAGGTGTGTCTGAGTCGCCAGCAGGAAGCTGACTGAGGGCTCTAAGTGACAGTGCAAGGGGTCCCGGAGCAGCTGCTCTACAAACATACTGATTCTGAAATAGCAGTAATCGGGAAAGAAGAAATGAGACCTGAGCCCAGATCTGGGAGGTGAGTAAAAATTGTACTTTCACAGCACATGTTACTGATGTGCACTTTTAAGTCAACCCTGACACTGGTAACCAAATCACTTAGTGTCAGATCAAACGTACCTGTCAAATAATAAGGCTGAGTCACAACTCTGCACCAGAAACCGTGAAGAAAGCAGGAAATCATTAAAATAGATGGTATTACAACTGTCTCAGCATCGAAACACATATTTGATGTTTTATCCACACATGATCCCTAGCTCAAGGCTACCTGCCCTACTAGATTGCACTGAATTCTTTTATAAGACCTTCCTATCTCTAGCGAGCACCTTCTGAGTTAGAAGTTAAAGGCATGAGAAATTAACGTCTTTACTACAAAGGGAGCTACTAAATGCCAAATTCAGCCCAGCAAATGGTAACATTCTGCCCAAGAAATAGGTTTCTCAAGATGTGAGAATCACACATGGACTGAAGTAGCCCTCCATGCATATTTCTCTAGCACAAGCAGATGATGAAGCCATCTAGGAGAACATGCAGGATTGCTTTAAAAATCAAAAGAAAAAAGCCTTGATCTAACCAAGCGTTGAATGGTCAGATAGCACAAGGTTTCACTGTGCCCTGGGTCTCTTGGTCTTGACTCAGGTAATTTTGAAAGCTCTGAGAACTACTTCTAAAAGAATTACTTGGATCCTATGAGTGAGTATCCATGACATACAAATCTGAAAGAGAACTGTAGAAAATTTACAAGCGTGTCTCCCAGGTTCAGCAAGATTGTCATTTTAAAATTGGTTGGTACACAGATACTTTTGCTGCTTTGTTGACTAATATTTAAGCAAACCATTTAAAATTGAGAGTGGCCTCATTTTTAATAATTATGTTTTTCCTTCTGCTTTCTCAAATGGACATCCTTAAAATATCACCAGGAAGATGCTTATCTACCGCCTAACTTTGTCACAGTTTCTCCCAGTGAATCACCACTTGGACAGGGCCTAGCAGTGGTTGGGATCAGAACCTCAATGTCCAGCATCATTCCAGTCTGGCAGAAGGAGCCTCAGTACAACGGAGGCCAGTCTTTGACTTATACAGGCTTCCTCTTCACAGATTATTTATAATTATATCCTACATATTGTTAGCGTTAGGCATTTAGTACATGATTGCTAGGTTTAATAAAAACAGTGTTTAAGATATGCATATCTTTTAATTGTATCAGTTTTTAAAAATCAGCATCGGGAGAAAAGGCAGCCAAGGTGGAATACAAATGTGACCCCAAAAGGCTCTCTGGCTCAGTGACAGTGGAGCGGCGTGAGGACCACCTTCTCCTTCCCACCACAATGGCAGTAAAGACAAGTCCAACCTCCATGCTAACACAGAGTATCTCAGGAACATACCGTGGGGACTTACCAAAGGAAATCAGCTCTTCCCCACCTCTGAGCTACAGCTACTATTTTTAGAGATTATAGAAGGAAAAGAAGAGCTTTACTACCCATTTTTCAAACGACAGAACTTCCTGAGTAAAGAATATTTTAACTTCAGGGCTCCTGGGTGGCTCAGTCAGTTAAGTGTCTGCATTCGGCTCAGGTCATGATCCCAGGGTCCTGGGATCGAGCCCTGCATCGGGATCCCTGCTCCGCGGGGAGCTTGCCTCTCCCTCTGCTTGTGCTCTCTCTCTCAAATAAATAAATAAAATCTTTTTTAAAAAAGAATATTTTAACTTCAAATTAAAGATTTAAAAAGGAATAAGCACAAAATTGTTATGTCTTTCCTTCCCAAGACCGTGTATGTCTGCTCGACTTCTTGACAGTGAGTCAGAAAGTCAACAGACAACAAGATGAATAACTTACATCTTTCAATTTAAGAACTCAGTGTTCAGAGAATTATATGTACAAGGTATGTAAAGTATGAAGGAGGGCCTCAGCCTCAACTGCCAGCACGTGGGGCTGGCCCACAGAACACCTCTGTGCGAGTTAGAACAGGGGCCCTCCCCTGACGCTGGCTTCACTAGGGGAGACACGTGGTTGCGGGGCTGTGAGCGCTGCTGGCTGCAGGGGCCGAGTGCACTTCCTGGGTCGTGAGGGTCAGAACGGCCCCTACACAGCGGCCCGCATGCACGGGCCACAAGTCAGCTGTGTCCTTCTAGGGGACGCAGTGCGTGACCACGACAGCATGACAGCACTGGGAGCATGGGTTAATCTGGTCATGGGTTTGCGAGACACACACAATCTCATCACTCCATAGTTGCCCCTCAAGCAAATCCAGTGTCTCGGGGAAACCTCTTTACACATCTCCTTGTGTTTGAAGATACAGGCTTAAAAGTAAAAAGACCCTGATGACAATTTTTGCTTGTGTGGTTAGTAAGAAACATGTTTTTGCTACACTATATACAGACATTTCTTAAGCATATTTATTTGCTGGCCAAAACTCACTTTGAGTACATGGTTATATGCTTTATATAGATAATCTTACTTAATCCTTAAAACAATCAAGCGGAATACGTATTAATATGCTCATATTACAGGTGAGGAATGAGGATCAGAGATTAAGAAATTTCCTCAAGGTCACACAACAAAATAAACACATGGGGTGGGATGGGGAACCCTCTCTGCTAACATGTAAGACCTAACCTCTTTCTGCTACACTACACTGCTTCTGCACTTTTCGTACTTATTTTATAAACTAGGCACAATTTTCGTACACCCAGTTGCACTTATAACATGCATACTTAGTGTAAGAAATGTTTGTAAGAACCAACCAGAATTAACAGAACCTGTACACTGGTTGTTTGATTTACATCTAAAATTTCATCTTGAAAAAAGAAAAAAGGGATGATGCTATAAATACGTGCAGGAAGGACACGTCCATGGACAACGCAGAACACAGAGTCTAACGTAGCGGTGAATGCGGGACAGCTCATTAGCTGCTCATGGGAGTCAAACTCCCACCTGAAGAGGAAGAAAAGCTTATGGGGAGGCACAACCCTAAAAAGTAAGAAGCAAAATCTCTTGCATGAAAAATGTATATGTGGTGTACAAACCAAAATCCTGTGGATTAAGCTGCACTTACTACTGGTTGATTATATGTAGACCTCAGAAATTTCCATACTAAGTCTGTAAATTTCCAAGTGTTTGGGATTAGACATTTTCTATTACCTGAATTATTTTCAGTATAAAATAAGCTATCAATTATCAAACGTCTGGTGGAGACAGGTTTAGATCACCTCACATTAAAATTATTGGGACTTGGCACCCAAAGTTTCTTTACTGGCAACAAAGCTCTACTTTTCTGAGAGGAAGTGAACAGAGAAATTATTATGATAGAAACATTCTCGCTTAAGTTTTCAAGAGAAAAGTTCAATGCACAGATCAAATGATACGAGTGAAATTAAACATTCTTTCTTCCAAGTTTTCTATTTGTGGAAAGTGTGAATTTTCTTTCCTAAAACTTTGAAGGCACAGATTAAACTTAGAAACACAGTGTTACAACTGAACAACTTCTCTAACATTTAGACCAGCTGCCCCCAGAAAACATGCGGTCAGTTTGCTGCTCTGGGACCGGACAGCAAGCCTGTATGTGGTCACATCCGCCGTAGAGCCAGAAAGGGAAATACAATTCATAATTCTTGGGAAAAGTTCCCACAAAGAACCAATTTTAAAATTTTGTGTCATTTTTATGATGTTGGAGAATTCATGATAAACACTCTCAAAACACTTACTTACTAAATCGATTCCCTTTAGAAACTAAAAAAAGTATCTATTATATTTGAAACCTATCATCTTTAAATGATGTTCCTTAGCAAATATTGAGACTTTTCTAATCAAGGTATTAGAAATATCAAAGGCCAATAAAGGTGGGAATATAAAAATATTACACACGAAACCAATGTTTACACATAAGAAACAAATGCCCAAGGTTCCAAGTAAAAAATTAAAATGTCCTCACTTAGAAGGTGAGTCAAAGTAAGAACTAGGCAAAATATAAAGAAAATGAGCTTTGTCTTTCCTGATTTCTGCTGGAGCGCCACCAAACCGGTTATAAGTCACGGACAGTGAGGACACCGTCCAAGGAACCGTAGTTCCTGCAGAAGCCCTACTGACAGGTGGCCCTGGGCACAGACGACATCAGCCCGGGAAGAGAGTCTCCCGTTCACTCTGTCAGATGGCATCGACATTATCCTGCATGAAACAGTCTGCACTAACATTTACTGAAGAAAACAGGAAGACCATTAGTTATGTGCACAGTAAAGGGGACTTTGTTTTAGTCTTCAGATTCAAGGGAACCTAGACAGAGAAAGGAGGCTCTTTGTAGAAGTGAGTTTCCTCCTAAAGAGAGAGGAAATTATCCATCCTGCCAACGTAGGCCCTCCGTGTTAATAAGAAATACTGAAGTGAAATACTAGTAAACTTCTAAAAATGAATTACTATGGGTTGTAGTTAAATAATGTTCAAAGACTTCACGTCAGCATCTCCAAATTTATCAAATAAAATATACTTACAATCTCATCTCCTGGCAACCAGTATCCTTCCTGCTCAATACCAGCTTTTGAGCCTTTGCAGCCCACTGTTAGGGTTTCGACAATGAGACCATCTTTCACAGCCAGGCTCAGCTGACGCGTGGTCTCTTTTGGATGCATACCGTGGACTCGAGACATGTACCTGAGTACAGAGGAAAAACAAATTAAAAACCCCTTAGGACTCAGCAATAAATAAATCCACAGGGGTGATTTATTTCTCCTTTGTTACTACTCGTACTTACAGGGGCCCTACCAAAGAAACAAAGTCCTGGATATTTGTCTTTTAATTATCACGCTATTTTAAAGCTTAATTCTATTTGTATATTTAGAGGAGTATTTGTTCAAAACAGTCCTTAAGGAGCAAACTTGAAATCACTTAACAGACTTTAGTCTAACATCCCACGCAGCTCTGGCCTCTGCAGCGACTCCCACTCTCAGTCTGCAAATTCAGAATTCAGAATGTTATCATTTCCAGTCCCAAGACTTCCGAATATAAAATACCCGGACTCAAAACTTAGGAAATGACACTAAAGAATGTTTAAGAATTACATGACTGGCTGCTGGCCTATAAAGAAACAAGAACGCATGCTGGGGTCCATTGGACAAAATGTGATTTTCAATGAAATACACTTTGGATTGGGTCACTAAACAGAATCCCTGATTAGTCATATGGCATTTTACTCAATTTTAAGAAAATGTACTATTTTCAAACACACCCTGGACCACAGAGAATACTACTGGAGGGTCCCTTGTATTCGCTGGTTCTGTGAACTCATGTTAACATGAGGACACATTTGCTTCATAGCTTAAGTACAATGTTACAGATATATTTGAATTTGTGCTATTTTCCCATTCCCTCCATTCAAACCGCAACACCTTCCACCAGGAGGCTCCTGGACATCCAGGCACAAGGCACGGGACAAGCTGAGCCAGGCCAGCCGCAGCCTCCCCAGAGAGGCACTGGGTGTACAAGACGTAGGGGCAACGCCTACAAGATTCATCTGTCCTTTCGGTATCAAAGCCTTCGCAACAAATCACTTCACAAATGCAAGTACTTGTCATGGAACCACCTTCCAAATTCAAAGGACACATTTCAACGAAGAAAAGTAGTGAACCCCAACTGAGGACTGATGAACGTGCAGTGTGTAGCAGACAACGGTTTCTGTTCACAAGATCACGAACTTTTCAAAGATGCTGTTCCACCTGTCAATGCAGGTAGCTCGAGGGTTCAGGGGGACAGGAGGGGGTGACGGTGAGCATACCTCAGCCTTGACCAACTGACCTGCAAGTACAACCACCGGGGCCCCGGGAGAGACCCAGATGCTGATGGACAGCCCAAGGGGAGAAGGCGGGTCGCTGGTGCAGCTCGACTCTGATGTAGAAAGCAGGGCTGGCAGAGATCAGCAAGTCCAGCATAGGGCGGGGGGGGGGGGGGGGGGGGGGGGGGGGGGGGGGGGACATGGGCCAAGGTGAACGTGGCCTAACGTCCTCACCATTTATGGGAGGGAACCAACAGAGAAGACCTCAAGAATGAAGTATTCCATCTAAATTTATAAAGGTAACCCTCAGAACAAAAATTCAAACATTCTAAATTATCTGAACTCATAAAAAAAATATGCAGTGAAACATAAAAACACCAAAAGAAACAACAGAAACGGAAAGCATATTACATATGATGACAGGACCAAAACCAAGTCTGTCTGTTTAATAAGTACACATTGGCTAAACTCCACAGTACAAAAAAGACAGACTGAATCACAACACCAAAAACACAGAGTCTACATGACACACTTCTAAAGTGACTCAGAAAAACGAGGCAAGAACGGGCGCAGGCACATCAGAAATGCAGTCCAAATGAAGCAGAGACCAGCACGGCAACCAACAGGATTTGGAATCTAGGATGAGAATTGTTTTTAAAAAAAGAAAAACAGGGGCGCCTGGGGGGCTCCGTCGTTAAGCGTCTGCCTTCGGCTCAGGTCATGGTCCCAGGGTCCTGGGATCAAGCCCCGCATCGGGCTCCCTGCTCAGCGGGAAGCCTGCTTCTCCCTCCCCCTCTCCCCCTGCTTGTGTTCCCTCTCTTGCTATCTCTCTCTGTCAAATAAATAAAATCTTTAAAAAAAAAAAGAAAGAAAAAAAAAAACAGGGCATAGGTTGTTATAAAGCAAAGACTGTAAGAAATAAAGGAAATACTGACAGGAATACAGAATTATGAGACTTCACCTCTATCCACAAAAACATCCAGCAGACAAAACGAGATATTCACACAGAAGACCTAATTAACAAGGCAGATTTAGTTCAATTTATTCTGAAACCGAAAACATACCTTCAGCAGGTCTAAGGAAAATTCATTAAAGTTGAGCATAAAACTAAACACAAAAACAACCTTATTTTATTTAGGATTTTATTTATTTGTTTATCTGAGAGAGAGTGTGTGTGTGCGCGCGCGTGTGCGTGGGGGTGGGGGGGTAGAGGGAGAAACCCACTCTGTGCTGAGCACAGAACCTGATGAGGGGCTCGATCCCACAACCTGAGATCATGACCCGAGCTGAAACCAAGAGTTTGATGCTTCACCGACTGAGCCCAGGGGCCTCCCAAACAACTTTATTTTAGATTCCCAAAAGGCAGACACGTGCTCCCTGCAGTGAAAATAAACCATGTATTAATAACAGAACTGGAAAACTCTCATAAACCAGTGAATCAAAAAGGTTATCTAAAAACTGCAAAAAAAAAAAAAAATCTAAGCACAGTAACTAAAAAGCTAACGCAGAGCCAGTTAAAAAATAAAAACCGAAAACTAATATTAGTCCAAGAGCCCCTTAAGGGAAAAACAGAGACATCACTAGCTAATCGAATCAACAGTGAAGACACAAAGCACAAAAAACATATAAACTAAGAAATGTCTACAAAGCCACAGCCAAATGTAACAAAGAAATTAAAATAATTATAAGCAACTATTTTGTTCATTTCTGTGTAAAAAGAGAAGATAAACACTATAATTTTCTAGGAAAATATAAATGGCCAAAACTTGACCATAGAAAAAAACAGAATACTTGAAATGAACAATTTCAAAAGAAATTAACAGAGGAAGTTGGCAAAGAGCTTTCTCAGAAAAACACCAGGAAGGCAATTCCATCAAACTCTTAACGTCCAGGTAACTCCAATGTGATTTAAACTTTTCTGGTACATAATAAAAAAGGGAAGCAAAGAATCTAGAATAATGGTAACAAACCCCTACAAAAATAGCACAGAAAAACCAGTGTTCCAGAGGAACACTATAAAAACCTTAACTTAAATATTTCAATTGACAAAATACTAAGTATTAATATAAGACATGTTAATATATTACACTCCAAAAGTCAAAGGAATACACCATAACCAAGTGTTTAATTCCAGGATTTCTCTGAAGATTTAGTATTATGAAGAAATCTATAAATACGATTCATCCCATTGATAGATCAAAAGTGAAAAATCATGAAGATTTCTATATGTATTAAAAAGTCATTTAGTGAAATTCAACAACCTGCCTCTAACAAAATGGAATGAGTAAATACTTCCTTAACCTGATCAGGAATATTCAAAGATGACTTTAACACTCTGCCAAAAGAAATAACCAGCACAGCTGGAATAAAGAAATGGTGTAAAAGTTGGTAAAGATTTTAAATGACCATTATTTGCAGATTACATATCTAGAAAACCCAAGAAAGTCAGCTGACATACTCTTTTAAATAACCAAATAATATAATCAATTATTTGTGTGGATACAAACTAATAACACTAAATTAATAGCATTCATATATACAAACCAAAAACACAGGAGATTTAAAATAAGACCCCAATTATTTACAAGAGCAATAAGAAAGAAAGTAATACATAGTGATAAATAGAAGAAATGACAAGATCTGGATGAAAAAAATTCTGAAATGTGACAGAAGAGAAGACAGAGAGGGAGACATATGCCTGATATATGAATGGAAGGTAACAAAACCCGAATTGCCCATAAGATAATTTAATTAAGTGCCACCACAAAGTGGGCAAATTAGTTCTAAAATTCTATATAGAATTAAAAAAGAACTTCCAAAGAAAATTCTTTCAGGGCAATATGAGATATTAAAACATTAGAGAGCCAAAGTAATTAAACTTGTGCATGAACAGCAGGCCAAGGAACAAACACAAAGTCCAGAAAGAGACCGAAATACGTATTTTGATTATGATCAAAGTGTCATTCAATTCAAATTAGCAGGGGAAAGGTAGATCAATCAACACATGCCATTAGGACAAGGGTCTCAACGACTTGAAAAAAGAATAAAGATGGAGCCCTGCCTTAGTCTGTGCCTGCCCATCAGTAAATTCTGAATCAGTCAGATTTAAAGATTAAAAAGAAAACCACACAATCATTAGAAGAAAAACATGGGAGAGCAATCATGGTGTGAGAAAAACCTTCCTAATAGGAAACAAAAGCCGGAGTGATTTAAGAAAAGACTGAACAATTTACATAAAATCAGCAATTTCTATAAAGCAGAAAAACAGGATAACCAAAGTTAAAATCACAAATGCTAACCCGGCGAAAACAATGAATCATGGATCACTACATCAAAAACTAATGATGTATTATACGGTGACTAACATAATAAAATAAAATTAAACAAAAAACAAATGCTAACCTGGGAAATATATTTGTAATACATATAACCGAAAGGCCTCATTTAAGTTCTACATACTCCTAACGTGTTTTAAAAATCCTAACTACTGGGGCTCCTGGGTGGCTCAGATGGTTAAGTGTCTGCCTTCGACTCAGGTCATGATCCCAGGGTCCTGGGATCAAGTCCCACATCGGGCTCCCTGCTCTGCAGGGAGCCTGCTTCTCCCTCTCCCTCTGCCTCTCCCCTGCTCCTGCTCTCTCTCTGTGTCTCAAATGAATAAATAAAATCTTAAAAAAAAAAAAGCCTAACTACTAAGAAAAAACACAAGAGAACCTTCTGTATCTGTCGTGTTCATGAAGACGCTGCATCGACAGACGAGGCTTGGTGGGCAGCGCCTCACTGGGGACACTAAAGGAACACCACCCCGTAGCACAAACATCTACTGAGCAGAAAGACGTTCACCTGGGAGCCAGCACATCTGGAAATTCATCCTACAGATAGACGTGTGTGAAATAACACGTATACAAGACAGAAAATCCATGTTAGCATTGTTGCCAACAAGATTAGAAAGGATCTAAACATGAATCTTAGGGGACTGACTAAATTGTAATACAGCCATACAAAGAGTTATTATAGAATCATTAAAAAATGAAGCAGTGTTGTAGATGTTAGGATAATGTAAGCTCTAAGATATATTACGTTTAAAAAAATCGGTATAAGGGCTAACATCCAACACATATAAAGAACATACAACTGAGTAACAAAGAGACAAACAATCCAATTATAAAATGGGGGGGCAGGTGGCTCAGTCATTAAGCATCTGCCTTCAGCTCAGGTCATGATCCCGGGGTCCTGGGATCGAGCCCCGCATCGGGCTCCCTGCTCCTGCTTCTCCCTCTCCCACTCCCCCTGCTTGTGTTCCCTCTCTTGCTGCGTCTCTGTCAAATAAATAAATAAAATCTTTTGAAAAATGGCGAGGGGTGTCTGGGGGGTGCAGTCGGTGAAGCGTCTGCCTTCGGCTCAGATCATGATCCCAGGGTCCTGGGACTGAGTCTGGCATCGGGTTCCCTGCTCATCGGTGAGTCTGCTTCTCCCTCTGCCTCTGTGATCTCTCTCCCTTTCACTCTCTCTCAAATAAAGTTTTAAAAGAAAATGGTGAAACATCTAAACCGACACTTCCAAAGACGACATAAAGATGGCCAGCAGGTATACAAACAGATGCTGAACACCACTAATCACCAGGGTAATGTAAGGCAAAACCACACCCCTCATGCACACCACATACACACCCATGCACATGCATGCGCGTACACACACCACCCCCCGTGCACACCACACACACCCATGCGCATGCACGCGTGCACACACCCATGCACATGCACGTGTGCACACCCACCCACCACACCCCCATGCACACCACACACACCCATGCATGTGTGCACACACCACCCCCATGCACACCACACCCATGCACATGCATGTGCGCACGCACACACATGCACGTGTGCACATATCCACCACACCCCCATGCACATGCACACACACCCACACCCCCATGCACACCACACACACACATGCACGTGTGCACACACCACACCCCCATGCATACCACACACCCATGCACATGCACGTGTACACACACCTACCACACCCATGCACAGGTGCACACATGCACCACATGCACACCCAACACACATGCATGCATGCACGTGCACACACCCCAAGCCCACAGAGAACAGACTGGTGGTGGCCAGAGGTGGGAAGTTGGGGTGGGGG